TATTTAGGTTTTTGTTTTTGTTGTTAATGTGGTGCTGAGTATTGAATCCAATGCCTCATGCATGCTAGGCAAGTGCTCTACCACTGAGCCACAACCCCAGCCCAAGAGCTACTTTTTTTTTTTTTTTTAAAGACCAGGTGTACTAACATGTCATTGGTCATTGAATTAAACAAGTGAACTTCCTGTTATTGAAAGTAGTCATATAAAAACTTGGCATTTCCTAAGAAAGCTGTAGTACCAAAAAAAAAAAAAAAAAAAAAAACGAATAAGGAAAACGTAGAAAATCTCTAAAGTCTTATCTGACTATATTCTACTCTATCCCTCGAATGCACTGTCATCCTGCTAAAGCCAGTGGGATTTCAGTTTTTTGATTACTGGAGATGTGTTCTCCGACGTCCACTCCTTATCCCATCATTCGAATGTTTGACCCTGCTCTAAGCCCTTTCTGTTTCAATTTTTTGCCTAAGACTTTCCATAGTCCTGTGCCCTGGTGTCAGATGGCTTGAGTCTGAATTCCAGTTCCACTATTGACCACACATTTGAATTACAGAACTTTACATAGATTGATTAAGTCTCATTTGCTTTATCTGTTGAAAGCATATAATGAAAACACCCCTTTCAAATGGGTGTTCTAAGTCTTCAATGGTGCTATCCACATACACTGATTAGTGAAATATTTGGCCATGGTAAGGACCTAGTAGACATTAGTTATATTTTCACATATTTAGAAGCCCAGGCCACTGCAAATATGTTAATAATTAATATCAATTCTATTTTCTACATCTCTTAAGCTCCAAATTTTATGAGAATTTTCAAATATATATGTATATATTTTTACTGAATTGTCTTGTTCTGTTTCTTAATTTGTATTTGGAACAGATTTTTGTGCATGTAGTTCTGTTTTCTTACTAATATTGCATAGTCAGGGATGCAGTCTTATGAGCTACTGTATAATAATGAACAGCAGATGTTTTCAAAGTTAGCAGATACTGACAGCATACAAATGGCATTTTGAGGGCCAGAGGTATACAGCTCAGTGGTACAGTGCTTGCATAGCATGTACAAGGCCCCGGGTTTGATCTACAGCACCCCTTCATCCTGCCACCCCCGCCAAAGGGCTGTTCTTTGGAAGCCCTCAGACTTCAGAGCTTATGGAAGTTGAAAAAGAATGATGTTGAATATTTCCCCTCCCCTTAGTCTAAAGAAAACGATAGCGAGAACATAACAGGTGTTTAATAAACTGTTCTTTCATTGAGCAAACACTGTAGAATGTTTATGAAGACATGAGAGATGTGGACTCGCCCATAGTCATTTATAAGCAGAATAGCTCGTAACCCTGGTAGGGAAAAAGCCAGTTTCTTAAAATTACAGAATCAGCTCTTTAAAATTGCATTCCTAAAAGGCATAAAAGCTTTTATGGGTAAGAAAGTGGGAGACCTTGGTGACAGCCATTGTTTCTGCAGGATATTTTGTTTTTTACTCCCAGTGTTGTTTCTAAATACTTCATCTTCTAGGCACAGATCATTATTGAAATATAGCACATTATTCAGAATTGAAAGTGCATACATTTACTATATTTATCTTGCATATCCTGTAGACATACATATATTTTTTTTTTCCATTGTCAATGTTCTGAAGTTCCTGACTGGCCCCTATGGGGCTGCATAGATGGCGACACAGTTTCAGCTGCCAGTCTTTAGTTCCAACCCCAGCAGACATTTCTCAATGTGGTTGACCATGGATGAGGGAATCGTGGTCCATATGTGTTTCATCTACCTTTGGGTGGCTGCCATCACATGGATTCCTGGCAAGTGAATAAGGTTCAGTTTAAAGACCGTTTTAATCAGACAGTAGAGGAAATGATGAATTCACTCCTGTCTTTGGTCAGTTTTGAGAGACATCTGTATTTTCCATAGTCTTTCCTCTCTACATATCTTGGGTACATGAAACAACATTAGAAACACATTTGGAAGCCTGGAGCACTGGAAATGTGTTAAAAGTCTAAGGTTCTGCTGGGTGCAATGGTGTATACCTATAATCCTAGCAACTCAGAAGGCTGAGGCAGGAGGATCGCAAGTTCAAGGCCAGCATTAGCAACTTAGTGAGACTTTGTCTCAAAATAAAATAAAAAATAAATAGAACTGAGGATATAACTGTGATAGAGCTACCTTGAGTTCAATCTTAGCACCAAAAATCAAACAAATTTCACCTCGAGCATTTATGTGTTCTGATTTAAGTGTCCTCTGATGTATTACTTATTTGCAAGAAGCACTGTATGCTTTGATTAACTCTTTACCTTTGATATTTGGGCCACCTGCTGTATAAGATCATCTAAATGAATTTATCCATGAGATATTTCCTCTCCTTCACCTCCCACTAATACCATGGTGGTGGATTTGTTTAAAAAAAAAAAGTGGTACCAAAATATTTAATGGTAAAATCAGATTCAATAAAAGCAGAGTGGAAAAAGGAAAACTAGTTGCTTCACTTTTAACACACATGTTTTCCATAGACACTGGCTTTCTTCTGTTTTCATAATTACAATTTCAGGCAGCGTCCCTCCACCCCAGGACGGTTATCACATTTGTGGGCTACCCATTTCCTGTGCATTTCCTTCCTCCAGCCCACCTCTTGGCCACAATAACATCACTCCCTGTCACAATCGATAGTACAGGTGGTCACAGTAGGTTTTGAAAAGAAAATGAAATGGAGACCTGTCAAGGTTGCTTTGTGTTAAATTAAAATATTTGGTGAGGAAAGGCCACACTCTTGGCCAGAGTCAGACTTCTGAAAAAAGTAGTTATTTCAGAAATTGACACCATTGTTTATGATCATTCTGTTAACAGAGCATTAGGGGGTGTCTCTGAAGAGGTGAAAGCAGTCAGTGTAATGGCAGCTTTGGGCTTGGAAGTAAAGTTGAGAATATGCCCTCTTTTCTGATCTGTAATTAACCAGTATTTTGAAAATCCTTGATTAGACTTAGTTTTATTCAGTCAGGGAGATAGAATTCACACACCATCAATAGTTCTTTGGAATTTAGCTAGAAGAAGTTGAATTGTGTAGAGCAGTATGCATGCTTGTATGTATGCATGGGCACACATGTGTGTTCCTAAGGTCAAAGAAGAGGAAATGATAAAATAGCCAAAGAAGGCTTTGTGAAAGGAGGTGGGTCCAGAGTTGTGTCCAGAAAACTGGAGGAAGGAAGGGAAAGGAATTCAGATCAGTAGATAGCGAAGCATATATGTACAGGGCTTCAGGTGTCAGGATCAGAAGTGAGGATGTAAGAAAACATGACAATTTCCATAAAAATGTAAGTCCTATTCCCTATGAAATTGATATACGTGGGTACCTGTTTTTGTAGAATGAATCTTTTATTCTATTCAAATGTATTAATAGCACAAATAAGACTCTGTCTTATTTAGTGAACAAAATCATGTCCAAGACCATTGGAGGCATCTGTCACTGGTTAGCATTCGATTTGCGGGGAAGAGGTTTGGAAAGAAAGGAGCTTCTCTTGGGGGTTTACCTAGAATCAAAGCCCAGTCATGGCCAACAAAGCCCTCAGTGATCCAGCCTTGCCTCCCTTTCTAGGCTGCATTCTTCTGTACTGTTCTTTCCAGAAATAATCACCTTGTTTCTCACCAAGCGCAAGATAACAGTTTTTCACTGCCTACAGGATGCCTGCCCCCAAGTTCTTGGGCAGACCACCTCTTTCTCATTAGTCTTGTCTCCGCTCGCATTTCACTTTCTCAGAGACTGAAGTCCTTTTTCTGACCATCCCACCTGAAGAAGTATACTGAGACCCCTAAGCATTCACCGTAATATCACCCTCTTTAAGTACGGAAAAACCAAGATCACTTATTTGCTCCTTTATTTTCTGTGTTCTCCCCTTTAGGCCAAGGACCTCAGTCAGGTACCTTGTTCAAAGCTGTACGGCCTGTAGTAGGCACTCAATAAAGTGTGTGTTAAATGAATCAGTGGCAGTCAGGTCTCTGTTGTGCTTACAGCATAGAAAGCTTGGCATTCTTTGCCATCCCTAAATGCTGAACTGTTTGTTACAGGAGGAAAGGAGTGAATAGCTACAGGCCTGGGGTGGCTGGTGTTGCCATGGCATCATAGAGCAGCACATTTCTTTTCCTTTTTTCCTCTCTGGAGCCTTAAGAACCTGGAAAGCAGCACCACTCAGAGGGGATATTTCAAAGAGATGGACTTTAAAGGAACAATGGTGTGGGTTGGACAGTTGCTAGTAAATCATATCAGGAAAAGCTGCTGGCTTAATTTCCTTTTCAGTATGGATGTACGTTGTAGCCATTGCAGAATGACGTTTCTGCACATAATGAACCAAGGTTCCATGTTTTACAGCCTGCTCCTTGAAAGCCTCACATGCATTTTCTTGTGTAGAGCACTTTTCTGGACTTTGCACTATTTTTTCCCCCTTCTTAAAGTATTATTGTTTGAGTCTGTCTATCTCAATACATTATGATAGAGCAGCCGTTGTTAATTTAGTGAAAGAAGTTTGGAAAACCTGTTATTTTTTCTCATTCATGGGTTTCTCATAGTAGCACATCTCTGGCTAACTGTACAAAAGACACCTGTGTGAGTTCCAGTGTGGCTGAATTGGCTCCTAGGTGCCTGGCTAAGTATGTTCTTCAGTTACCTGGTTTGGGTTTATAAATGAAATTTTACGATGACTATGACTCATTAATACATGCCAACAATAAATGATATCTTCCTTATGACGTTGTTGAGATGTACTTTATTTTTATGTTTTTTCAAAGGATTTATGGTACCAGAACAGATCGCAGCTGGTGGCAGATTCTTACTTGCTTTTCCCACATCTCTCTTTCCCATCTTCCCCTGTCATTATGCTGGGAGTCCTGCTTCTGTGCTACCAGGCAATCTACCATATTGCCATTAATTTAATGTGTTGTCTTAACAAATGGGTAATTCCCCTGTCTCTTCACTATTTAGTAATCTGCCATGTCTCTTTCTTTCTTCAGCACTGCAGTGACAACACACATCCCTGCCAATCAGATATGAATATTGAAGGAGCCTGGAAGAGAGGATACACAGGAAAGAACATTGTGGTGACCATCCTGGACGATGGCATTGAGAGAACTCATCCTGATCTGATGCAAAACTATGTGAGTGTTTGCTGCGGTTGGAAGTCTCCCCTCCTTCTTAGGAGGAGGACCCATGTTAGGATTATCAGAAAGGGGGATTGCTACTGAACAATGTAACAACAGATACAATAGGCTCTGTGTTTTACTTCTTTCTTGTAAAAAGTGAGCTCTTAAAGTACAGGAAGCGTGAGATAACAGTTTTTCACTTTTGGGTGCCCTTGATACTGTGACCTACAAAAAGAAAGTGATCAGGGAGCAGAAACTCCACCACCAACACCATCTGCTACCAGCAACACCTGCTCTTCTCAACCATTCAGCCAACCAGCCAGGTGACATCTTTTGTTTCTTTTATGGAAAAAAAAAGTAGACTTAGAAATATTCTCAAGTTATTTTGTTGGTACCTTTCTTTCGCTCCTCTACTGTTTTGTTCTTTTAAACTTTTTAGTTGTAAATGGACACAATACCTTTATTTTATTTATTTTTATGTGGTGCTACGAATCGAACCCATTGCCTCACAGGTGCTAGGCAAATACTCTACCACTGAGCCACAATCACAGCCCCTCTACCTCTCCTCTTTTAAGGATAGTAGTGATTAGCCTCCCAGTAAGTCTGTAGGAATCGTCAATCTCCCTTCTTAGGAAGGAACTGCAGATTCATTTAGTTCTCCTTTGAACAAAAAGAGATGAGTGACAGCAGGCTATCCTCACCCTGTATTCAAGCTACCTCCACAGCACAGAATTTTGAAGCTTAAGAGGAACTACAGTTTAATCTCCTCATTTGATGGGTAAAGAAATTGAGGCATAAAGACTGAAGGGAGTAATCCAAGGTCAGATGTAGAATCAGAACTATGGCTGCCTATGCTTCAGCAGAGATGTCTTTCTCGTCACATGCACGGAGGATTTTGCTGTGTGCTGCTGTTCCCCCCTACAGACACCTACTTTGATTATATATGAAAAGCCTTCACTTAATGTGATTGCAATCTTTACCTTTTTTCTTATTTTCCCTCAAAAGAAAATTCTCTAAAATTACCTGTATAATTAGCAGTGCTGGTTCCCTCTGAGTTCTTATGTTGGAGCCGGAGGGGAGTAGGGAAAACATACTAGAGGAAGTATCAGAAGACTTGGGTTCCAGTTTTTGTTTGGTTCATTCAAAAACAAGGTAGAAATTAACCTGTTTGAGTCCTCTGTTTTCTTATAACTAAAATTGTTATATTAGAGTCAGTGCAGAATCCTTTATGCTTTCATGGCCACAAAGAGCAGTTACAGGGCCCCCTTTGTACAGGAAGCAGAACCTTACCAGCTTTACATGTAATATATTTTCCTGAATTCCCTCAAACATTTCAAGTTCTGTGCACTAAAAGTTATTTCAGAAACATGAGCCTTTTGATAAATACAGAAAACAAAGATTTTGGAAACATTGAAATTGGGAATCATAAGGCATAAGGAAATTTCAAACGTCTTAAAGTAAGCTGTCTGTGGTGGTATAAATTTGAACAATGGTAATGATCCAGTAAATTCTTTATAGTATCTGGAAATTTTTCATGAGTATTTTTTTAAATATGTTTTTTGGATGTTGGTGGACCTTTGTTTTATTTATTTATTTATATGTGGTGCTGAGGATCGAACTCAGTGCCTCACACATGCTAGGCAAGTGTTCTATCATTGAGCCACAATCCCATCCCTTTCATAAGTATTTTTAAAAAAATATTTTTTAGCTATAGACGGATGCAAAATCTTTATTTTGTTTATTCATTTTTATGTGGTGCTGAGGATCGAACCCAGTGCCTCACATGTGCGAGGCAAGCACTCTGCCAATGAACCCCAACCCCAACCCCATCATAAGTATTTTTTTTTCTATCTTAGATAGCAATTTCTATTTATTTATTTATTTTTAATTTTTTATTGTTGGTTGTTCAAAACATTACAAATTTCTTGATATATCATATTTCACACTTTGATTCAAGTGGGTTATGAACTCCCATTTTTACCCCATATACAGATTGCAGAATTACATCAGTTACACATCCATTGATTTACATATTGCCATACTAGTGTCTGTTTTAAAAGCAAACAAATCTAACTTCGGTTTTGGAGGTTCTGTATCCTCATTTTGTAACCTCAGCATAAGAAAACTTTATTCATCATTTTGGTTAGTCCAAAAGCCCTTGAGTATTAGTAAAGTCTGAATTACAGGCTTCCTTTTTTATAGGAGATACAATATCTGAATGCAGACAAATGTTTAATAGGGGTCCCAAGGTACTTAATGGAATAAATATCCAATATTGATTTTTAGTTGGCTTGTCAATTATATATGAATAATTTTTGCCTTCTAAAATCCTTAATTATGATAAAGAAGTTAACAAGTTCAAAAATTCAAGTAAGGAATAAGGAGTGAATCTGGAGAATAAATCACTTTGCTTCTAGATATTTGAGTTGTACTTAGTGGAAAAGGACATGTTTGAAACACACACACATGTCATGACCTGGGTCATTCCAGGTGCACTGAGAACAGTGATGGCATAATGAAGCAGTTTTCTCCTTGGTCTGTTTTGAACACTTCTTCACCATGAGGGGGAAAATGCAGCATTGATAATTACTAAACCAGCAGACCCTCCCTAAGGCATCCTGACACCAGTGAACCATGAGTTATTAGTTAACCTAATTACTCTCTAGCAGAAATGTGTTTAAGATTGTGGGAGCCCGTAGGTCACTGGCTAATTAATGATTGTCCATTTCTTTTCTCTCGCTCTCTCCTCCATGGCCATAGGATGCTCTGGCAAGTTGTGATGTGAATGGGAATGACTTGGACCCAATGCCTCGTTACGACGCAAGCAATGAGAACAAGTAAGGCTCAAGTCAAGGGTGGTGGCAGGAGTTAGGTTTTCTGCTCATGCTAAGGGAAGTATGTTCTTGAAATGCTTGGTAACCAATGGGCCTAATTTACTGCAAAATGAAAAGGTGTCTTTTCAGCAAAGTTTATGAGTAATAAAAAGGAGAGGTTCACAAATTAAGAAAGGTTGCAGAGAGAACCCTGGGGAATGGCTCAGCATTTCCATATCTTGTAAATTGAATTGGAGGACATCACCCTCACCGTCCTCACCCCATTTGTTTAAAGATAGTGGTACTAATGGGAGAGGCAAAAGTACCCCCAAAGAGAGTTATTTGATTCTCCTAAATTCAACAAATTTGATGGGCTACTACATTTGAGGCCACTATCGGGGGCTTTATTATTTTGTTTCTCCTTTGCTCTCTTCTCTGTGATTAGGTTTCCACTAATATATAGGAAACACTTAGAAGAATTGTTACCATCTGGGGAAGGCATTGTCTTTCTTATGTCCTTCCACAACCAAGAGGCCCATTTTCACTTTCCAGTTCCTATACTAGTTTATAGTGAATGCAAATGAAATAGTGCATCCATTAGATGATAGATTATTTTAACATTCCTCAGTAAGTCAGTGTGAGTTGTTTTTCTTACTTTTAACGACCCAGATCCTTTTAGTTGGTATTTCTAATCAGTATATCACATTAATTAACGTTCCCCCCACTTTTACTGAAAAGCTCCTCCAGGATAATGCTGTGATTTAGATATTTTCATATGAACGTTTATTTACCTGTTTTAGGCTGGGATCACAAAAGTTGTAAGGAAAATGGTCCTGCTCATCTATTATGTGCTATTTGCAATCTCTTTTTTTTTTTCCTCTAGGGGAAACTTCTCAGCTAGTAGTATTTAAGTAAGTCAATAAATTTAGATAAAAGCATATGACCTAGAAAAATTGTGACTCTGTATGTGTTTTTTTCCCCATCTACAAAGAAGTCTTAACAAAGTAGCTGTAGAAATATGCTATTTGTTAATATTAACAACCAAGTTAATATGACTGTGGTGAAAGCTTTAATATACAAATTGATATAAACTTTTCCAGAACTTCCGAACAAAACAAGAAAGTGGCTAAATTAAACTGGATAGTTTCCTTTTAGACCTGATTGTTATTGTCTAGATTGTAATGTTGAGTGAATTTTACACAAGGGGTTAGAGTTTCAGACAACAAGAGCTGATGTTTTTTGTCCTAATTTATAAACTAGCATGAAACAATGAAAAAGAGACTTGAATCACTCAGTACTTAAAAAGGCACTAATGGTTTGCATGTGTGGGAATATGGAAAATATCTGCCTTCCTCTCAGTTTTGCTGTGAATCTAAAACTTTTCAAAAAGTAGTCTTAATAAAAAATAACTCTGATAAATTTCAATATATAGTTTGTTCTTCTGTCATGCTACATATGCATTCCTGATATGCACTCCTAAAAACAATAGCACTCTGCCAAATCCTAAAACACAGAGTGATGAAAACATTGAGTTGGAGTCTAATACTCAAACATCATCAGTCTCTGTCTCTCTCTCTCTCTCTCTCTCTCTCTCTCTCTCTCTCACACACACACACACACACACACACACGATAGGGATCTAATAAAATGGTAGTTAAGAAATAATTAAAACTACTTTAAAAGTGGCACTTAACCATGATCAAGAACTTGACGTGTGCCTATAGAAGTGTATGTTCATTATATCTACTCTCATTTGCTTTCTACCCTGTGTACAAGAGAAAAAGAGTAAGAGAAGAAGAGATCAATGTGAAAACCAAGAATAAAAGACATAGAATAAACAGGAAAAATATACAACAGGCAGAGAGAAAGAGGTTAAAGTTAAGCAGAATGGAGGGCGATGTCTCCCACCCCAGGATGGCCCTTGTCAGAAGAATGGCAGCTTTCCAGTTATTATAGGGAGGAGTGGGAGGAGGGTTATCAGAGAACACACAGAAGTTGCAGTACCAGATGTGGCTAAGTGTGGACTGCTGTGCCTCTAAGACGCATGGCTCTTTGTGTTTTATGTACTCCTATGAGGTTCGGTTCATCTGGGCGTGTTTTCTGCATTCACCTAGAGTTTCTGTGACAAAATCCTATCTAAACAAATGCAGATTTCACATATGCTCAGAATATTCCCTTATATATCAATCATGTTGGATAAAATTGGTGTTTTAAGGCATACATTATAGCAGAACTGTTATATACATTCACTAAATTTACCACATTAATAATTGTATGGTCAAAAGAGAAGCAGGAAAACTATAAGAAAGTCTAGATCATATTAACACCTAAAGTAATTCTTGTGCAGAATATAAAGGAACAGGTAGAAACCTAAGACCAATGTGCTAATCCCTGTAACTAGTTGTATGTATCTAAACCTGTGTGTGGTGGTTTTGCTTTGAAATTCTCACTGGGGGTAGCAACTGTTCTCTGAGGGTGTGTCTGTTCTGGCTAACCTCCCTAACCATGATGTCTATGCATAGACATTCTTTGAGGACCAACTTTGATGGCTTTTTACACACTACTCTTTTACAACCTTGTTCTTTGTAAGGATTCCTTTAAAACTTGGCCACTCCCCAAGACTTTTGTTTTAAGTCTTTTGTTCATGAAGAATCCCTGAGGTCATGCTCTCTCTAGGGTGTTCTAGTGTGTCCTGTTTTGACCCATTCTAAGCACTCTTCATGGTTCATTGAGTGCAGCGGGAGTTTGCTGGAGGACCCCAGCATTGTTCCAGATGTGTGCTTAGGTTTGTAGTCTTGACAGTGAAATATGGCATTTTCGAACCAGCATTCCATACCTCTGTTTTATGGAAGTTAGCTGTCTCCTGATGTCCCTTTAGCTCCTCTCGGTAGCTCTGTTTTTGTTTTTGTTTGTTTGTTTGTTTGTTTGTTTTAATCTTGACTGACCAAAAGCATGTATTCAGGCATTTGTGGTTAAAATATCCTCTCTACCTTTGAGGCCATATTGATAGACATGATTGATAGATCTGACTTCAAGCGTGCATCCATAAATGGATAATTCTGTTTGGATAGAACTCACATAGCATTAGGAATTACGAGTGGGTTTGTAATTTGGAAGAATTGACTTTTAGCCCTGGATCTCCTGGAGTGATTTGCTTTATCATTCTTTGAGTCTAATTACTCTGGGCTTTGGTATTTTTTTTAATCCCTAAAATGATATAAAAATACTTACATCTAAAGAATAACAATAAAATGTGTAGAACCCCAAGCTGAGTACATAATAAGTAGTAGATAATTATAACTGTTATCATTGTAATTATGTGTTCTACTCATATATCTAATTCTTTATAATCAGTTAAAAATTATAATTATCTCAAAATATGTGTGCATATGAACATTTCAAATCTAAATTAAGACTTGGAAGTCTTTTTCTTCTAGGGTTAGAAGTTTAGATTTTTCTGTTTAAGGGCTGGAAGGTGTGACTCACTCAGTCCGCAGTCTGTTTTTTCCCACCTACCTCCATGAAGTATGAGGGCTTAAATTGGAAATAAGATGGTGAATGTGAGAAATCTCTAGTCATCATTGGAATCAGGAAGTTGAGGCATATGATATGCAAATGTCTGCACATTGCTCAATCAGAAGAGTGGCTTCAGAGCATGTTTGGAATCTTCATGCTTGGATGTATTTGTTCATCCATTCAACAAGTATTCATTGATACCTTGCTGTGTGAAGTGGTTCTGTGCCAAGTGCTTGGGTTGAACTTGGAGATGACAGTAAGAAACTCTAATGCCTGAAGGATTTTCAGGGCTAATGGAGCATATATAGTATACCTTCAAAACCTCATGCAAATGATGTCTGTTAGTCTCCTGTGATTACATTTCTGGTGCCAAAGCTTTGGAGTGATGAAAACACCTCTGAAGTATAAAAGTTGTTATAAAATTTTTTTACTTGTCACTTTTTGAAGTCTCAATAACTTGAGGTATAGCAAACCCCAATAACTGATGCTAAAGAAATAACACTAGGAGAAGAGACCATAAAACCTTGTCTTCAGAGTTAGCTTTGCCTTCATTCATATCAGCTTTGCATTCTTATGGGCTTAAAATAAAAAAATACCTCCCTACAAACAAAACAGTCTCCTGGCATCTCATACCACTACTCTATTTCTGATAAATGAATTATTGATGTCTGAGTTAGATCAGTCCTTCCCTGGGTTGCTCCCTGTTAAATGTTCTCTCTCTGATTAAGCCATAGAAACATATTTGATAGGAGATGAAACCACTGCATTATATTTAGGATGTGTGGTGTGTAGCTCCAGAATCTAATTCCTTTTCAAAATAAACCGACCTCTAGGTTAAAGACTCATTTTCTAAAAGGAATGGCTTTTTTTCTTTTGTTTCTTATCTCTATTTTCAAGGAAGATTTAACCAGGGTAGATGGAAATACATTTTCGCTGTTTTTTTTTTTTAATCTTTCACACATCATTTCTGGTTTTTAGAATGTCGTCATGTTGCAGAAACTATTATGTGCATGGCCTTCTCTTTCTTATTTTTGCAGATGACAGTTTTTCCAGAGATTATGTTCCAAAGCACAGCCAACGAATGTAGCCAGTATTTTCTGATTATAAGGGAAATATCCTAACTTAGTACTAGGGGGAAAAAAACTCAAACCATATTATCTATGATCTTAACAGGTATACAGAGTTATTTTTCATAACTCAGGATTTGACTAAATAGATTAAGATAAAGTTATCTTATAGCATAGTAGGACAGATAAAGCCTATCAAAGAAAAGTAGGGTCATTATCAAAATTTGATTTATTTTTCCAAATATCTTCAAAATCTTTTTCCTGAATACTTCTGCAAGATAACATCTCCAATATCTAGACTATATAGTAGTTACATTTTATGTAACATTGATTATAAATATATTATTGGAAGATTAGCATTTTCAAATAAGGCAAATGTGAAAATTATCTTCCACTTTTTGTACACAACAGTTAGTTCCAGCTACTATAACGAAGTGTCTT